GAGTCTCACTCCGTTGCCCAGGCTGGAGTGCAGTGGTGTGATCTCAGCTCTCCACAACTTCTGCCTCCCGGGTTCAAGTGCTTCTCCTGCCTCAACCTCCCAAGTAGCTGGGATTATCGGCATGTGCCATCATGCCCAGCTAATTTTTGTATTTTTAGTAGAGACAGGTTTTTGCCATGTTGCCCAGGCTGGTCTCAAACTCCTGACCTCAGGTGATCCACCTGCCTTGGACCCCCAAAGTGCTGGGATTACAGGCGTGAGTCACCTCGCCCAGCCGTCAAACTTTTTCGTTTGGTAAATAATGACCAAATGGTAAATATTTTAGAATTTGTGGGCCAATCATCACAGCTGCTCAATTCTGCTAATGTAGCAGGAAAGCAGCACTAGACAATTACATGAACAAAATGGGCATGGCATGTCCCAATGAGATTTTTTTTCAACAAAACCAGGCTGCAGGTCAGATTTGGCCCATACGTTAACAACCCCTCTCCTAAGATGTTCTTTCCACCATCATATCTGTGTTCCAGACAGAGGAAAGAGGAAGTGGAGGGGTTGAATTTTCTCCTAAAAACATGATCCAGCCGGGCGCAGTGGCTCATGCCTATAATCCCAACACTTTGGGAGGCCGAGGCAGGCGGATCACGAGATCAGGAGTTTGAGAGCAGCCTGGCCAACGTGGTGAAATCCTGTCTCTACTGAAAATACAAAAATTAACCAGGTGTGGTGGCAGGTGCCTGTAATTCCAGCTACTCGGGAGGCTGCGGCAGGAAAATCGCTTGAACCCAAGAGGCAGAGGTTGCGGTGAGCTGAGACTGTGCCATTGCACTCCAGCCTGGGCGACAGGGCAAGACTCGGTCAAAAAAAGAAAGAAAGAAAGAAAAAAACATGATCCACAGGTAGAAATAGTGTAGCATAGTACACAATAGGATACTATGCTACAACAAGAAAGAATGAACCACAATCACACACAACACAGATGAATCTCACAAGTATAATGTTGAGCAAAAGAAGCTGGCACAAATGATTGCATATTGACTGATTACATTTATATAAAGTGTAAAAATGGACAAAGTTAATCTATGGTATTAAAAGTCAGGTTGCCTGTGAGACTTCTGGGATCTGACAGTGCTCTATTTTTCTTTTTTTCCTTTTGATACAGGATCTTACTCTGTGGCTTAGGCTGGAGTATAGCATGCAGTGGTGCAATTGTTCTACTTCTTGATCTGGCTGGCATATCAGATCCCATGCACGAGTGTGTTCACGTGTGAAAATGCACTAAGCTTAACATTTGTGTACTTTTCTGTGTGTATACTCCAATAAAAAGAGTTTGTGTAAATTTCAAAAAAAAAAAAATGTGATTTTGAAGTTGCAATCACTTCTCAGATCTCTTTGGCCAAAACTTAGTCAAAGGACCACTTGTGACTGCAAGGAATCTTGGAAATGCAGCTTCATTACTTTTTTTTTTTCCAAGATGGAGTCTTGTCGCCCAGGCTGGAATGCGATGGTGCGATCTCGGCTCACTACAACCTCCACCTCCCAGGTTCAAGCAATTCTCCTGCCTCAGCCTCCTGAGTAGCTGGGACTACAGGTGTCTGCCACCACACCTGGCTAATTTTTGTATTTTTAATAGGGACAAAGTTTCACCTTGTTGGTCAGGCTGGTCTCGAGCTCCTGACCCCAGGTGATTTACCTGCCTCGGCCTCCCAAAGTGCTGGGATTACGGGTGTGGGCCACCACACCAGGTCTTTGCATGGTTAACCCCTCATCATTCAGTTTTTAGTATAGTAATACAGTAATCATGGCTCCCCCGCCCCATCCTGTTCTATATCATTATGTTGTTTAAATTATTCACAGAAATTATCACTAGCTGTAAGTATTTTTTAATTAAGTTTTTGCTTACTTTTTCGTTGGCTATCTCCTGTGGAGTTTGAGCTCCAAGAGAGCAGGGTCCTCACCAGTTTTATTTATCATGTATCTACACAGTAGATGCTCCAGCAACATTTATTCAATGAATAAATGAATGCATTACAAAACGAGGAGGCGTGCCAGGCGCGGTGACTCATGCCTGTAATCCCAGCACTTTGAGAGGCTGAGGCAGGCGAATCACAAGCTCAGGAGTTCAAGGCCAGCCTGACCAACATAGTGAAACCCCGTCTCTACTAAAAATACAAAAATTAGCCAGGAATGGTAGTGCGTACCTGGAATCCCAGCTACTCAGGAGGCTGAGGCAGGAGAATTGCTTGAACCCTAGAGGCGAAGGTTGCGGTGAGCTGAGATCATGCCACTGTACTCCATCCTGGGCAACAGAAGCGAAACTCTGTATCAAAAAAAAAAAAAAAATGAGGAAGAGCTGGCGCTCCAGGAAGCCCCTAGTTTCCCTGCTGGGTCTTCTTTCCTCTGCCCCCTGCTGTCATGTACACTGTTGAAAACTGTTTAAGTCATAGAGGAGCTTGGGCTTGACATGTGACCTCACTCAGCCTCTGTTTCATCTGTGAAATAAGAAATAAGAGTGGGCTTATGTGAAATAAGCCCACTTCTTGCTAAACCAACAACGATTGCTTAAGATACAAGGAGCCGGTTGGTCGAAAAGTGCACAGACTATCAGCGTTGAATGGAGCTGGCCTGGTGGAAGGAGCCCCTCATTCCGGCTTCCCCACCAAGCTGCTTGCCTTGGCCTGTTTCCTACTCCCTGGGTCACTGGTTCTCACACAGGTTTTCCCAACCCCCACCTCCAAAGGTCTTATTTTATAGCTCCTTGTGAGGAATTCACATGATGCCATGACCTTCACTGTGAGAAAGCACAGGTTGTAAAAGGCCAGGCCTGGCTCCTCGCTCCATGGTTAAATATTGATGATATTGGGAAATAGAGACCTGGAGTGGGCACACCACATGTCCCCTTGAAGTGATAGAACCCACAGACCACAGGTTCTCTGCAGCCCATTCTCCTGCCCGTCCAGAGGATCTGGATTTTTCTCTTTGCTTGAAGCCAACACATAAAAAGAAAAGCAAAGGGCTCGTGGTACTTTCAGATTGTGAAAGTCAGGTGGCGCTTGTTTGCACTCTGAGGCCGCTCACTCAAGAGGTCAGTCACCCCGGAGTGGTAGAGAAGGCTCCAGGCCTGGGCGTGTGCTACAGGCAGAGCTACCAGATGAGCCCAGCTGCTGCAGGCTCTCCCAGCTGTGACTGCCTGAGAGAGCTCAAGTACAAAGACCATCCTGTTCTCCCATAAAGAGGAAGAAGAGGAAGAAGAGGAAGGTAAGAAATTGTTGCTGCTCCCAACAGCAGATCAAGGCAGTCCCCAGGAACTCAGGATCCAGGGTGAGTGTCCTCATCTTGCCTTGGGGATGGGTGGCCCAGGTCTTTGGCAGAAATCACAGTCCAGTGGCAGATGGTTAAACCCTGTTTAAAATGCAGGGGTCTCCCAGAGGGGCCCAATGAGTCAAGACAAGTAAATGCAGTATGACATCCTAAATGAGATCCTGGGACAAGAAAAGAACATTAAAGGCAGAGCTAATGAAATGCAAATAAGGCATAAAGTTAATTTACTCATGCAAGTGACAATATGATGCTCACCCTAGAAGCAAACTGGATATGTGCTTTCATAGAAGTATGTCTTTGGCCAGGCCTGGTGGCTCATGCCTGCTGTAATCCCAGCACTTTGGGGGGCTGAGGTGGGTGGATCACTTGAGGTCAGGTGTTTGAGACCAGCCTGGCCAACGTGGTGAAATCCCATCTCCACGAAAAGTACAAAATTGGCCCGATGCAGTGGTTCATGCCTGTAATCCCAGCACTTTGGAAGGTTGAGGCAGGTGGATCACCTCAGATCAGGAGTTCGAGACCAGCCTGGCCAATGTGGTAAAACCCCATCTCTACTAAAAACACAAAAAATTAGCCAGGAATGGTGGTGGGTGCCTGTAATCCCAGCTA